ATTATCATTATTATTATTATTATTATTATTATTATTATTATTATTATTATTATATTGATGATAATAATCATAATGATAATAACAATCATCATCAACTTCAACATCAACATCATCATCACCATCATCATCATCATCAACATCGTCATGATAATAGTGATAGCGATAATAATGATAAAAAGATATTACAGTGATAATGATGATGGTGTACATGATGATAATAAGGATAAAAGTAATGATAATGATGATAACATTAATAACAATGATAACGTTAGCATTGATAATAATGATAATATCAAACTAATAAAGATAATGATAATAGCAATAAAATTGACAATAATATGATAATAATGAAAACGATGATAGTGATAACAACAACAATAATAATGATGGATATGATAATGTTAATGAAAATAGTGAATGATTATAATAACAATGGTAATGAGTATGATAATGATAATTATATCAATGATAATAAGAATAATGATAACAATAGTAATAGTAATAATTATGATAATGATTAAAATGATGATAATAGTTATGAAAATCATAATAATATTAATGATGATAATGATAATGATAATAAGCATAATAATAGTGATAATAATATCAAAAACAATGATAATGATAATAATAAAGACAATTATATCAACAAAAATAGCAATAGTAATAATTACAATAGTAATACTATTACTATTACTACTACTACTACTACTAATAATAATAATAATAATAATGATAATAATAATAATGATGATGATAATAATGATAATAATAATAATAATAATAATAATAATAATAATAATAATAATAATAATAATAATAATAATAATAATAATAATAATATAATATTTAATAATAATAATAATAATATTAACAACAATAATAACTTCAATAATAATAATAATGACATGGTAATAGTAGTAAAACTAGTGGTAATGAAAATTATCATAATGATAATAATTATGATAACAATAATGATAATAGTGATCATGATAGTAATAATGATAATGACAATAATGATGATGATAGTAATAATAATAATAACAATAATGATGATGATAGGATAATAATAATAACAATAATAATAATAGTAATAATAATAGTATTGGTAATAATAATAATAATGATGATAATGATAGTAATAGTAATACTACTACTACTAATAAAATGTAGTAATAATAATAATAATAATAATAATGATAATAATGATAATAATGACAATGATAATAATGATAATGGTAATGATGATAACAATAATAAAAGTAATGGTAATAACAATAACAATAATGATTATAATAATAATGATGGTAACAATGAAAATTATAATGATGATAATAATAACAATAATAATAATAATAATAGTAATAATAATAATAAAAAGATAATAATAATAACAATAACAACAGCCACAATAATAATAATATAATAATGATAGTGATAATGATGAGTAATAATGATAATTATAATCATAACAGATACAAGAATAATAATAGTAATAATGATGATAGTAATAATAATATAACTATAAAAATGCCAGGATCTTATCATTTATTTCTCTCTTATAATTCGACCTCTAACTGTCTATATATTTCACAGGTTCTTAGCCCATATCTATATACAACTTTACGCCTAATTCCAAATAAATCAGTAAGTCAAAATCATTATTATACATTACGTATATTAATACCAGGAGGGATGTTGCAATGTAAATGAAAGAAAAAAATCACACAAAAAAAGAAACAGAAATTAATTAGTATGATATAAAAATTAGACTTCTATTAGCTTTTCCCTATTTTTGTTGTCATTCTTGTAATTATGAATTCAGCGCCACTATATTTGTATAAATTCTTTGGTGCTCACATTGCTATTTTTTTCTCTATGATTACTATTTTTTTTTTTATCGTTATCACCACCTTCAATATGATCAATATCATCAACATCATAACCACCTGGAATAGTCATACCATCACTCAGTCATACCTTCACTGCTGTCATTGTAAGGCTTGTTAGTCCATAGAATTAACCATTCATTGTTATTATCATCACGATATTAACTTCCACTACATTTTTGGTATTATTTTTTCTTGTTCTTCTCCAATCCCCTTTAATGAATACACGAGAATACGTATCTATAAATCTTGCGTATATACCTATACTCTATAGCAGTGTTGTCGAAAGGGATACGTGAACAAACAAGGAACACACACGCCTCACATCTCATAATAAGCTGTGTAAGTATTTTTCAAGCATTTTGTTATTAAATCATCTTTTTTTATTCGTGTATTAAATTCGAATTTATTGACCAACACTCCTGCAATGCAGTCTTTTCATAATTAGTATATTATTTGCATTATCCTAATTAAAAGTTTGTTTAGCCATGGTGGACGGCAGTGGGGGGGGGGGGGGGGGTACGTAACAGTGCAAGAAGGTATTAAAGGGTACAATAGGCGAAAATATTTGGACAGCACTGCTCTATAGTATTAGAAACTAAAAATAGAGACTAAGGATATATAGAAATTCTAATATTTTTGCAGTGCATTGATTATTCAGAAGATAGCGCATGCGGTCGGTCGTCAGATGCTAACCTTTGATCTAATATTGTAGCAGCTAGTGCGATGTTTGAGCCTCCTCTCTCTCTCTCTCTCTCTCTCTCTCTCTCTCTCTCTCTCTCTCTCTCTCTCTCTCTCTCTCTCTCTCTCTCTCTCTCTCCCTCTCTCCCTCTCTCTCTCTCTCTCTCTCCCTCTCTCTTTCTCTCTCATAAAAGTTTTTTTTTCAACTTCTTGCATCTTTTATAAGCGAAACTACCATATTATGGATAAACTATCCGAAAACTTTACATGAGAGCAACTTTAAATTAAGTTAAACACCCATAATACATCTAGTCGTTCATAATAACCTGACCGTGCTAACCGCATTCATCAACAAAATTTATGTTAGACAAGGTCAAGGTGCAGAGTCCAACTGTGCACAATATCGGTGTGTGAGATTTGGTTCTTGCTGTCCATTTGTGTGCTGTGTCTGAGGTGTCATTAGGAAGGTCTGGATCTTCAGTCACTGGTTGTTCTATGTAGTTATGTGCCCCAGGATAATTTTGACGTAGTTTGCTGTAACATGTATGAGTACGCGTGTACATTTATCTTCGTAGAGTGCATCGTTTTGTGATAGTAATTCCACAACTAAGGCCTGAAAGCACCGCCTTGTGTGATATGTATGATAAATCAGTGGAATGCTCACTTAGTATGTATCCATTATAGTTTGGTAGTGGCATCAACAGATCTCTCATGGTACCGAGACTATTTAAGGATTTTTGTTCGCAAATCATTGTGAATTGTAGCAAAGCGGCATATCATCAAAGGATGATATGCCGAGATCTTCGACGCTTAACGAAACTGACTATTAATGACAAAGTAGCCGTAGAACTTTGCTTGAAAAGAGGGAGTAAAACAGACCTCTCATTCTCGAGGGCATCTTATTCTCTTCTCGTTATGGCCACATCCCTGGCCTGGTTCCTGATTTATTTTGTACTAAGCCAGCCTGTAACAGTGCAGTGAGTGGAAGACCAGCTGTTCAGTGCACCTCAGGAGATTGCCAGAGCTAATTCTGTTCTTCCCCACACACACATACTGGCTAATGGAAGGTATACCATGGAGTTTTGAACAAATTGCTGGGGGGTAATTTAGAGCCTGTTAGGGTCTGGTAACTTCCAATTACAGGGAAAGAGTTGGCTAGAAGTTCTGCCATCTCTCTACCTCTAGGAAAGAGAAGGAAGAACTGTCCCACTACCATACTGTAAGAAAATAAATAGATAAAAATAGATTAATGGAATCAAATCCTCCTAATTGACCTTCATGTTAAAGTGAATTAAGATAGTCAAGTGGGATGAGCGAACGACCATTTATCCTGTCCGTCTTACGCTGTATTATCCGACAGTTTACCAAAGTTGTCTGGTATAATGAGGTTGGAGAGAGTCTCCACCGTTAATATTATGGGATTATGGTGCTTATTGAGCAATTTATGTTTAGTGGGGGGGGGAGGGGGCGAAGTGTAGTCACTAGGTCGCCTCTATGAGAAAAGAATTATTCCGAGCTTGTTCTATCGACTCCAAAGAAACGTTTATGCCTTTCTTTGGCCAATTTGGTATGACGATCTTGCTTTATGTGTTCTTTAAAAAGGTTACAATACTGGTTTTCCTTGCTGTCATCTTGGCTGTGACTCTGCTTTGCAATGCTAGTAGAATGAGACCTGTGAACCGCAGGGATGGTTGGTTGTGTGTGTGTGTGTGTGTGTGTGTGTTTTCCTCCTTCAATTCTATCTCACTTTCGCTCTCGGTCTCATTCATCCATTCTCTCTCTCTCTCTCTCTCTCTCTCTCTCTCTCTCTCTCTCTCTCTCTCTCTCTCTCTCTCTCTCTCTTCTCTCTCTCTCTCTCTCTCTTTCTCTTTCTAAATGTAGCAACGCACGCGAACCCAAGAACACAAATGCATATACATCCTGCTCCTTGCATAAGAAAAAGTAGTGCATAAATTCTCTGATCTTTTTTTCTCTTTTTTCTCCAGCTGAAAACTGTAAAATTATTTGCTCGTTAATTCTGTTCTCCTTTCGTCTGCGTTTCATAATAAGCTTTTATGTTTGATCAAATCAGGTCAAGCATTTTTGATACCGAGATTAAACAAAGGCAGATAATTATTGGCAACTTTTGATTTGATGATGAAAATGCTGATTGATATTTATTTAGAGCTCATTCAATCGTCGTCCTGGTGATGCAAAATGAACATGATATCAGTGCACCTATTATTAAATTATTGTAATGATATCGAATAATGCGAAGGTGATGAAACGGTAATGATAGTGATGATGATGTGACGTGCTAATTAGTAGTGGTGGTATGGTAATAATAATAACAATGTGATCAAGATGTGATATGTTGATATTAAGATATAATGATATGGTAATAAATGATACTGATAACGATAAGGAGACCGTTATTGAGCCAATACTTACTTGATGTGGATGCATGGCCGGTGGTGGTTGCTCGTCCCGTTTTCTCTCATGGTTCAATCTAAA